GGGAAATGGGAATGTGGAATTCTGAACACAAACAGATCAACCACAATCTTATTGAGTGGCGGAGAATGTTTGAAGGTACAAGTGACCTACCAAGCTCCAAATCCATACGGTTGTATGTATGAAGTGCATCCCCCATATTTTAATGCATCTGCAAAGAAACTCTTGATATTGGTCTGAAATTTCTGTTTTACTCACCAATTGCCTTAAACATAGAAACATAGAAGATAGGAGTTGGGTGAGGCCATTCAGCCCTTTGAGCCTGCTCCGCCATTCATCTCGATCATGGCTGATCATCCAACTCAATAGCCTAATCCTGCTTTTGCTCCATAAACTTTGATCCTATTCGCCCCAAGTGCTATATCTAGTTGCCTCCTGAATACATTCAATGTTTTGGCATCAATTACTTCCTGTGGTAATGAATTCCACAGGCTCACACTCTTTGGGTGAAGAAATGACTTCTCATCTCCGTCCTAAATCGTCTACCTCAAATCCTCAGACTGTGACCCTTGATTCTGCACACACCCACCATCGAGAACACCCTCCCTGCATCTACCCTGTCCAGTCCTGTTAGAATTTTATACATCTCGATGAGATCCTCCCTCATTCATCTGAACTCCAGTGAAAACAATCCTAACCTAGTCAACCTCTCTTCATACACTGGACCTGCCATCCCCGGTAACAACCTGGTAAACCTTCGCTGCATTCCCTCGAGAGCAAGAGCATCCTTTCTCAGAAAAGGAGACCGAAACTGTACACAATTTTCTAGGTGTGGTCTCACCAAGGCCCTGTATAACTGCAACAACACATCCCTGCTCCTGTACTCGAAACCTCTCGCAATGAAGGCCAACATATCATTTGCCTTCTTTATCACCTGCTGTACCTGCATGCTTACCTCCAGCAACTGGTGCACAAGGACACCCAGGTCCCACTGCACACTCCCCTCTCCCAATTTACAGCCATTCAGGTATAATCTGCATTTTTATTTTTGCTTCCAAACTGAATAATGTCACATTTACCCAAATTATACTGCATCTGCCATTAATTTGCCCATTGACCCAACCTGCCCAGATCATGCTGAAGGATCTCTACATCCTCGTCACAGTTCACCCTCCCACTCAACTTGGTATCATCTGCAAATTTGGACATGTTACATTTTGATCCCTCATGCAAATCATAAATATGTATTGTGAATATCTGGGGACCCAGCACCGATCCCTGTGGCACCCCACTAGTTACTGCCTGCCAATTTGAAAAGGACCCATTAATTTCTACTCTTTGTTTCCTCTCTGCCAACCAGTTTCCTATCCATCTCAATACACTTCCCGCAATCCCCTGCGTTTTAATCTTGCACAATAATCTCTTATGTGGGACTTTGTCAAACGCTTTCTGAAAGTCCAAATATACCACATTGACTGGCTCCCCTTTGTCAACTCTACTGTTACATCTTTGTAGAATTCCAACAGATTTGTCAAGCATTATTTCCCTTTCATAAATCCATGCTGACTGGGACTGGTCCTGCCACTACTTTCTTAAATCAACATTTCATTTTGAAGTTACCTGTTGCATTTTTCTTTTCCATACCATTCCTTATCTTATACAACACTACAAGGTCACAGCTCAGGCAACCAGTTTCTTCAGGTTTACCTCATACCTCAGATCTGTGACTAGAAATCATGCAGAGTTTGTCTCTGAACTTGCTCCCCCCAGAGTTTGAATGTCTCCTTCTGTTTTTGGTAACCAGAATAGGGACAGTACGCAAGATGTAGCCCATCAGAGGACTGCATGTTTTTAGCGTGATTTCTTCTAAATTGTGCTCTATACTTTTGGCCAAATATAGCCTGACATCCTTAATAACATTGTTGATTGCTACTTTATGATGATCTATACATCAAACACTAAAACTTACAAGAATCAAAGATCTCTCTTCACTTCATCCTGAACAATTACAACATCAGAAGTTGATATTGACAGGGGGCTGGGAGCATTGAGGCCAGCAGTGGGGGCATTAGCTATCATCCCTGCGAATTTTGGCTCAGGTTCAAAAATCTTCTCCTCCTAATTACAAAGTTGAGCAAATATATTTGAAATACTAATTTTTTTTGATTTTGGTCCCTTTAAGAATGGCTTGTTAGGCCCCATATAAATCAGGTCGTCCTGATTGCTTTGCTGCTGACTGCTTCAGGGCAAATTAACCGTGCAGTGGGGGCTACAAATTGGTATCAGATTACTTATATGGACATCTAAAGGACCTAATGCCTTTTTCAGGTCTGGATACATGGATGGGCTGACCCTTTGGCAATACAGTGTGCAGTGGATTACAAGTCTGTAACACGTGTATGACTTATGTCTACTCTGTTGGAAAATCGACTCCCAATAAATGGGAATCACACAGGAAAATGTAGTCTTTTGGCTGAACCCAGCCATCTTCTTGTTCTCCTAATTCCTTGTAGCAAAAATTAAGTGCTTTTTTTAAGTATTCTAATACAGAATTCAGATCTCTAGCAGATTTATAGCTAAACACTGAACCACATCTCCCCTCCGCCAGTCATACTGTGGGTGGGTCAGCTAAATTAACAAACGCATCAACAGCCACATGCTGCAGAGATATATCTGAACAGTGTATTGTGGGGGGATTTCCCCAACTCACCACATCTGCAACGTCTTAATTATTAATTTAAGACTATCTCGGCAAGTCTGTCTTGTTTTATCTTTCAAGGATTGAAGAGTGAGGGGATGATCCATGGGAGATTAATTATAGAGTCAGGAAATCTCAGGTACTCAAGCCAAGCTACAGCAGTGAAATCACTTATCCACAAAGCTAGAATGGAGCATCTTCACAAATTAAAAAAAAGCTTCTTTTTTTTCTATACAAGCCAGACAAAAACACAAATTGTACAATGTACTGGAAACGATTAAGAGTGACAGTGGTCTACTGGACCCATGCCAAAATAACAGAACTGCACTTAGTATTCACCTCAGAATACCTGCATTCAGTCATTTGCCCAGAGCAACCAAAACTTATTGTCACAATGAATATGATAATCTGACACTTGCTTTGCCAGGCAACTATACAAATCCCCACTGTATTCCTACTGAACTGGCAAAATACAATATTAAGTAAGGATTAAGTGAACATTTGGCAGTGAGCTATTAAGATCTGATCAATACAAACACAAAGAGAATGAGCAATCATTCTCTGTAATTCATGTATTAACATGCAGACATTTTGTTGAAATAGTGCACTGATGTTGCTTTTAAACAATGACACTCATTGTGATGAATGCCCTTCAGACTGTTTTAAAACTAAACACTCAAAAGCAAGGAGATGATTTAAATATTATTTTTGCTCATTCCTTCCTCCTAAACCATTACAAGCTCTCCTCCCACTGAACATTCACTATCACCTCTCTTAAAGGCACTGCCACTTGCTGGAGTATAGTTCCATCAAGGCTATCAGCTCTCCAGAACCTTGCCTGTAAATATATCTGCTCACCCATACTCTGCAGTGTTTTTCCCAGGGAGTGTACTCAGACAGTCTTTACTCTGTTAACCCATACTCATTCACATTAAGTTGCATCTGATACTTGCCTATCCATTCTCTAACCTATACGCTGAAGACTCTTGGAGTCTGTCTTTCTGTTTATCAGCATCTTATTTTTGTGTTGTCCTCATTAGAGAGATTGATATAAACCAATCACTGAGCCCACAGTTGTCCATTTCCAAATTGAAAACCTATTTATTTCAATTTTTGATTCCTGCCCAATGAAGAACTTTCTATCCAAGCGCTCTTCTTATTTCCGCTTATTAAAAACACCTGAATTCTTTGATAAAGCCTCTTGTGAAATATCTTACAGAGCCACTTCAAAAGAAGTCGGTCGTTCTTAATATTAAAAAAATTGAACGTGAGCAAATCTGGCTGACTGGCCATGATTAACCTATATTTCTATTTTTTATCTATAGTACTGAGACTCATTTTGGTCTTTAAATTGTCACATTCAGTATTTTCTGGAGAAAACGCATTTTTCCTCTGCACTCCCCACCTTGTACCATTTTCCTCTATTTTCTTTTTGTGGCTTGGAATTGCCTAAATTTATAAAATGTACACTTGCCACTGTTAATGCCAAGTTTCCCATTTTAAATAGGGGAGAAAATTTGATTAGTTCTGTCTGCTGGTGCAGTGTCTAGGAAATCATCAAGAGCACAATAGATGTTTCAATGCGCGAGAAAAATCTAAAGCCTGCTGAGGAGTCAGGAATATTCTGAAAGGTAAGGATAAAATGTTTTGATACTTTTCAATATCACCATTAGGTGTTTTATTGTAATGTTTTCAATAAGTGAATCATCACAGGAATCTTTCCTGCAAAGTTAAGTTGACCCTTACATTGGCCAGCATTATTCTTCATATGCATTACTGTAATTTTCAATGTGAGAAGTCCTACAAATTCAAAAAATGTCTGCTGTTATGTGTATATGTTATGATTTAATTGGAAAGGAAGGTATGGCTTTTTAAAAACTGAATTGCTTCTAATGGCATATTCTAATGGCATAAAAATGGTTTGCACCTGTTCTCACTATTTATTTACACACACTCTGCTTTCAAGTGGAAATCGATATCTTTTCTATCAGTAATGTGGAAGACTTTGATATGACTATTGTGAATGCTTGGCTGTGTGGCAAAAGCGATTGGTTTTATTCAGCCAAGCATTATTGAAACATCTACCAGCCTATAATGTCTTTGATGCAATTTCTTGTTTGTTTACAAACTTAATAAGCACTTAGAAAAGTATAACGTTTGGTTCAGTAGCAATTGAGAATAGATAGGAGGCATCGAGGTAACATGCTGGCATGGGGAATAATGTGGCGTGGGACACAGTGATAATGTGTGGTGGAATGGGAAAAATGTGGAGGGCATCTGGGAATATGAGGTAGAATGGGTGGGCAGGAGAGGTGACTGGTTGAGGATTGTTGTTTAGAAGACCTTTTAATCTACCTTCACTCACCTCCATCTTCCATATCATTAGCCTTAATTGTATCACCTGCATCTTTAATGATTTCATTTCTCTTAAAGAATTCATTCATGGTGTGAATATTGTTGGTAAGGGCAACATTTTTTTAGGACTTTTAATTACTATTTAGAAGTTGGTACTGAGCTCCCTTCCTGAACACTACTAAGTGACTTGCTGGGCTATTTAGGGCCTGTTTACAGTCAACCATATTATTGTGATACAGAGTCAAATGTAGAGCAGACAAGCAACTTTCCCTCCTTTAAGTTAATAAACAGTAAGGTTTTTACAAGAAATTTTTAGTTTCATGGTTATCATCACTGATTTTATTCCAGACTTATTAAACTGAATTTAAATTCCCCAGCTACCACAGTGGGAATTGGAAACATGCTTTCAAATCATTCGTCCACTCCTCTGAATTATGGGTCCAGTAATTGCTATGCTACTTTACCCCTTATCAATTACCACTAATCAATTTGTTGATTAAGGTTAGATTTTTATAGGAATATATTTTTCACTCTTATGCATCTTGTATTTGAGGAAATATTTTGTTCTGTTGATTACATTTCTGTCAAGTTCATTTTGCCAAGTGTATCCATCCCCCTTGGGACCAATAGGGTAAAAAAACTCAAACTTCCCAAATACCCCAGTAGAAGAAAGTGATGGACAGGATTTTCTTTCTTTGCACTTTTACCTTAACAATCAAACTCAAATCTACATAGATTAAAAATTAAATAATGGACGTTATATTTGTCGAAACTAATAATTACACGTGGTGGGGAAGAAGGCGTTTGGCAGAACAGGATGGGTCACTGGACCCAAAACGTGAACTCTGATTTTTCTTCACAGGTGCTGCCAGACCTGCTGAGCTTTTCCAGCAACTTCTGCTTTTGTTAAGGGTTTAGAGGGATATGGGCCATATGCTGGCAAATGGGACTAAATCAGTTTAGGATATCTGGTCAGCATGGACAAGTTGAACCGAAGAATCTGTTTCTATGCTGTATATCTCTATAACTCTATGATTTAACACTGATACAACAAAGAGAGATCTCATGGAATTTTCAAGCTGTCCCTTCAGCATATCATTAATCTCAGCCACGGATTCCTAAAAAATACTCTTTTTCACACCTAGAGCTTCAGTTGCCTTACTCACACAGAAGTAATGTCTGAAGACACAGCCCATGCAATGTCTACCAAAGGATACACCTTTCCTGATCCTTCACAGCTGTCATAACTATGGGTCAGAACCCTGAAGTCATATGGACATTTTTTAACTCGTACTTCTAAAAAGGCTTTCTTTTTTAAAGAGGGCTGATACAGCCAAAAGTGGCTATGGACATGAATAAGTGGCTGTTTAGAGAAAGAGAGACCCACAGAATGTCACACCTGAAGATGCGAAGGGAACTTCAAACAACAGCCTTTCAAAAGGAGGAAGAGATGAGGGGATGGGTCTGGGTGGGATGCTCTGAGGGTCGGTGTGGACTTGTTGGGCTCAAGGGCCTGTTTCCACACTGTCGGGATTCTATGATTCTATGATATCAAACAGACTGGAATGTGATCTTTACTGAAGATTCAGAGACTTATCCATATATCTTATTTTTAAACAGTTCTCATTTTGGACTCACCATCTCTTTATATGTGTGTTGCCTTACTAATTCTCCTCATTTAATAATTAATGAAATGGGAAGGTAATGGCCTAGTGGTATTATTGCTGGACGATTAACATGGAGACCCAGGTAATGTTTTGGGGAGAGATAGTAGGAACTGCAGATGCTGGAGAATCCGAGACAACAAGGT